GAACACAAGTGGAGGCAGCTGCAACTCTAGGATGAAACTGATCACAAGTTGTTCACGAGAATCCTTCAGCTAAAAGTCATACAATATTATCCGAGTGGTAAAGATGGTGGTAAATTCTTAGATACAGTGACCTTAACCCTTGACCCATCTCGTTCCATGACACAAGAGAAAGAAATGGATAATGTGAGGGTTAGGGTTACTTTAGGTTAAGTTACATCATCGGGTTAGTGTTAGGTTAGTGTTAGGTTAGGTTAGGTTAGTGTTAGGATAGGTTAGGTTTTGGTTTGGTTAGCGTTAGGGTGTTTTATCATCAGGTAAAATAAACTGTCTGAAAATTACAGCGTTACAAAATTTAGAGACGTCGCCCCACGTATCCTTAACCATGATGACGATTATTCGTAAACAGTCTAAATAACGTGGTTCAATTATGAACTGTGAGGGTTTAACGTGGTTTTATTGTGAGCTGTGAAGGTTTAATGTAGTTCAATTATGAGTTGTGAGAGTTTAACGTGGTTTTATTGTGAGCTGAGAGGGTTTAACGTGGTTCAATTATGAGCTGTGAAGGTTTAATGTAGTTCAATTATGAGCTGTGAGAGTTTAACGTGGTTTTATTGTGAGCTGTGAAGGTTTAATGTAGTTCAATTATGAGTTGTGGGGTTTTTAAAATATATTTCTGACCGAGGAGTTAATGGGACAGTGGGTGTCAGACCTATTGGAGTGGATCATCGCCTCCAGTCGTCCTCGGGGTTATATTAACAAGACGATTGCCACAACTTAAATATATTGTGGTTGGAGGCGTCACTACCACTTGGTGTATAAATGACAGCGTCTGGCCGTGTAATGACGCCAGTAAGGAGAACCATCGCTACCTGTCTACAACCTCTTCCGATCCAGGGTCCATTAATTCAAGACTATGGTGTTATTTACCTTACTAGTTAATGTAAGCTTTCGATAACATGTAATAACTTCTATTTTAACATAAACATCTCCTGAGTTAATGTGTTTACTTTTTCTTACTCCGTTTCTTCCCTTATCACTTATCTTATCGTCTTGATGGTTTCCCCTCAGATAAGTGGCTTCCCTCCCTCCCTCCCGGTCTCCACTCGACTTTCCAGGGAGACGGTGTGTGTCCCCTCTCTCTCCCCTCTCTCTCACTACTCCTGGTCTGGCCTCGACTGGCCGTGAGCACGTGCACGGTGCATCGCGCGACTAAACCACAGTCACGAGGCGCACGGGCTGTTCCCTCCCTCACTCTCCCCTCGAACCAACCCCCACTCCCACGAGCTATCGCCATGGTAACGGGTATGGCGCACTTAATGCTTGGATAACTCACTAACTGGTTCCTTGAGTCTCACGCGAGGCCCATCCCCCCACACGTGCCATGCTGGAAGAAGGATCAAGAGGGGTTGGGGGGAGTCTACCAGGTAAGGGCTACAGGGAAGGCGATAGTGAAGGTCTGGCATCTCTGGGAAGTGGTCAGGAGGGACGAAGATCACGGTGTTGTGGGAAGTTCTGATATGTGGTGAGAACACACTGGGGGGGGGGTGGAAGGTTGTTAATGGATTATGAAAGAATAAATGTCTACGAAAATGTGCTCGACATGAGAAGTTTTGATTGTCTCTCTCTCTCTCTCTCTCTCTCTCTCTCTCTCTCTCTCTCTCATCGACAGAAGAAGTCCTCTCACGTGCCCAAGGTTATAGTGTGCGTCTAGAGGCAATTACGGATGTAGGGCTCATATCTCTACGTGTGTGTGTGTGTGTGTGTTGTAAACCAACTATGTATGTACATATGTATGTTAGGTGCGTGTATGTATGTGTGCACATGAATATACGTGTGCGTGTATATGTGAGTATGCGTGTGTATATATGTGTGTACGTTTATATACTGTCAGCGTATAAACATACACAGGCAGGTGTGTAGTCAGATGTCTGTCTTGACTCACCGACACTCTACTTAATACTTCTGTTGATCTTCCCCACAAGACGACAACATCCACGAGACAACAACATCCACAAGACAACAACATCCACGAGACAACAACATCCACGAGACAACAACATCCACGAGACAACAACATCCACAAGACAACAACATCCACGAGACAACAACATCCACAAGACAACAACATCCACAGACAACAACATCCACAAGACAACAACATCCACGAGACAACAACATCCACAAACAATCACAAGACAACAACATCACAAGACAACAACATCCAACGACGAGACAACAACATCCACAAGACAACAACATCCACAAGACAACAACATCCACGAGACAACAACATCCACGAGACAACAACATCCACAAGACAACAACATCCACGAGACAACAACATCCACAAGACAACAACATCCACGAGACAACAACATCCACGAGACAACAACATCCACGAGACAACAACATCCACGAGACAACAACATCCACAAGACAACAACATCCACAAGACGACAACATCCACGAGACAACAACATCCACCATCCTGACCTACTGACACATCTCCCACAAAGTCATCTCAACAATAATAACTGTACAGCAGTAGGTGACGGCTGCTCGGGCTCCACCTCAACAAACACTGGTGCTCCTCTAACACCACCAAGGAAAAAATCAACAAATAAAAAGCTCACCTGGCAGGTATGTCCTATTACCGTCTAGACAGCAGCGCCTCGGGTCTTCAGGGAAAGATTATTCTTTCCTCTCTTATCGCAGTGTTTAATGAGATGCTACCGCTGCTAAATCTCTCACAGGGTGGATGCTGGCCTGCTCGCGGGTGTCAGTCGTATACATACATACATACATACATACATACATACATACATACATACATACATATGGAAAATGTATTCTTTACCACTGACGAAAATCTAGTGTGTGTGTGTGTGTGTGTGTACCAAAGTCGATGCCTGGATCCTGAGGGTGAGGTAGGTGGCGAGAGGCGGTGGGGGGAGGTGAGGACTCAACCCGGGACAGGGATCAAACTCTGAGCTTGAGGAAGGGGGGGTGGTGGTGGAGTAGGGAAGAGGAGAGAAGAGGGGGTGGTGGTGGTGGAGTAGAGGAGAGGAGAGGAGAGGGAGGAGGAGTGGTGGGTGGTGGGAGTAGGGAGGAGGAGAGGAGAGGGGGTTGTGGTGGTGGAGTAGGGAGGAGGAGAGGAGAGGGGGTTGTGGTGGTGGAGTAGGGAGGAGGAGAGGAGAGGGGGTTGTGGTGGTGGAGTAGAGAGGAGTAGAGGGAGGGATAGATCCAGTAGCAAGGTTCTGTTCCCGCACCTGGATCACCGTGTATAAGCATAAAAGACTTTTCGAAGCGTCTTCTACGAGAGAGCAACAAGGAAAGAGTTAATCTCACCAACCACTAGACCTCGACCTCAGAGCTGTCACTAGAAAGAAGCACTCAACAGTAGATGAAGAGTTAAACTTCCCACAAGTTCCCAGGCAGATATTAAAGTGGTGTTGTCAGGAGAACATTGGACGCGCTGCACGGAGAACCTAACAACAACCATTATGACACAAGAGCCATGAATCAGTTCGTCTGGTGGATGGAACAATTATACAGAACATGAAGCTTAGTTGTTCTTTTATACACGTGAATAGGAATGAAGAACAAACATGTGTGTGTGTGTGTGTGTGTGTGTGTGTGTGTGTGTGTGTGTGTGTGTGTGTGTGTGTGTGTGTTGTCATTACACAAACACTAATACACAATTCTAATACGAAAAAGAAGTGAAAATAAGTGTTATGCACAAAAGGGGAATAACTCAGGAGGTAACTCGGTGATATTCAGTGAATTTACCAGACCTTAACTATATGTACTAACACCTACCCTACACAATTTCTCGGTCTGGAGTACAGTATAACACACTCGTGGCAGGTAAACCATCAGGCTAATGCATTTAATATAACTCTCGAAAATATTAAAAGACACAATTTCGAGAAACTCACACACAAGAAATATCAGTCCTTCATATACGCCAGCTCTTCATGACCTAGAAGTGGACACAGTAAAAACAGCGTGAGAAGCCACTTTTCTTACCCCACACGGAGAGGTAAGTCGTGTGATCTTAACGACACAAATATACTGAGTATCACCTCGAGATCCTCATCACCAGTGTACCCAAACACTCTCCTCTTAACGCTGGTCTAATGATCTCTCTCCTCGTAACCACTAAAGAAAAGATTATATTATTTTCTTTATTGTCTTTAGAAACTACACTGAGAAAAAAACGTAGAAATAATCATAAAATCTTATAACTGTTGCCTCCCGGAACAACAAGACAAACTTATCAATTAAATATACACTGGATAATGATATTCACACTTACCCTTTTGTAAAGTCTGGCCCACACACACACACACACACACGCACACGCACACACACACACACACACACACAAACACACACCTACAGGACAGGACAGTACTCACTCACTCTTCAATAACACGGAGACTCAGGGTACTAGGGAAGAGTGAATACACCTCTCTACCTGGGAACGTGAAAACCGCTTACGATATATTCATTAGAGCAAAGGCACGAGGATGACACAGCATGATTTCAATATTACACGGAGATTACCAATGACAGATGCGTCCTTTCACTCTCAATTAATGGGGGAATATTTACATATGAATACAAGATACTGGAGCCAAGAGGAACTGTGTTGGTCCTGGAGTGATGCAAGACAGGTGTAAAGACTTAAGAGTGATGCAAGACAGGTGTAAAGACTTAAAGAGTGATGCAAGACAGGTGTAAAGACTTAAGAGTGATGCAAGACAAGTGTAAAGACTTAAAGAGTGATGCAAGACAGGTGTAAAGACTTAAAGAGTGATGCAAGACAGGTGTAAAGACTTAAAGAGTGATGCAAGACAGGTGTAAAGACTTAAAGAGTGATGCAAGACAGGTGTAAAGACTTAAGAGTGACAAGACAGGTGCTTAAGTGATGCAAGACAGGTGTAAAGACTTAAAGAGTGATGCAAGACAGGTGTAAAGACTTAAAGAGTGATGCAAGACAGGTGTAAGACAGGTGTAAAGACTTAAGAGTGATGCAAGACAGGTGTAAAGACTTAAAGAGTGATGCAAGACAGGTGTAAAGACTTAAAGTGATGTGTATTAAGAGTGATGCAAGACAGGTGTAAAGACTTAAGAGTGATGCAAGACAGGTGTAAAGACTTAAAGAGTGATGCAAGACAGGTGTAAAGACTTAAGAGTGATGCAAGACAGGTGTAAAGACTTAAAGAGTGATGCAAGACAGGTGTAAAGACTTAAAGAGTGATGCAAGACAGGTGTAAAGACTTAAAGAGTGATGCAAGACAGGTGTAAAGACTTAAAGAGTGATGCAAGACAGGTGTAAAGACTTAAGTGATGCAAGACAGGTGTAAAGACTTAAAGAGTGATGCAAGACAGGTGTAAAGACTTAAAGAGTGATGCAAGACAGGTGTAAAGACTTAAGAGTGATGCAAGACAGGTGTAAAGACTTAAGAGTGATGCAAGACAGAGGTATATAGAAGAACGGACTCAAAAGAACTAACAAAGTAAATATTCTGTATAATTACGAATCTATCAAGTCCGCCATCTTTGTTTTGTAATAGGAATAAGCTAGTTAGACGTGTTAGGTAAGAACTGACCAAGTGAGTAGGTTTCACCCACATATACCTACAGTAACTTCCTTAACACTCATTAAAACCCGTAGATGAGACACTACACAATGATAAATCAACAGTAATTTTTTTCTTTTCAATAACAACAAACATTGGATAGAAAATAAAAGCCGTAAAGTTATAGATATGGTGACGTACAATATATAGCTCCTCCTTAGCAACCAGTGTGACTCTTTGTGGTTGCTAAGGAAGCTATGTAGGGAATTAAGTTAGATTATGTTGGGTTAGGTGAGCTTCGATTATGTTATGTTATGTTAGATTATGTTAGGCTAACGGTATGGTGTTTAATCATTTAAGTGAAATAAGTTGGGGCGTCTATTCTTTAGGTGATGTGCTCTCTCCATATGACACTACAAGCCTACCTGGACAGCTGGTCATGGCGGAGTAAACACCACCTCAAGCATCTCTTAAAGGGGACGATGTTAAGCCAAGGAGAGGGTGGGGAGGGGAGATGGGGGAGGCTCCTGCTGGTGTGGTGGGGAGGGGAGGTGAGGGAGGCTGTTGCTGGTGTGGGAGGAGGAGAGGTGGGGAGGCTGCTGATGGTGGGAGGAGGGGAGGTGGGGAGGCTGCTGGTGGGAGGAGGGAGGTGGGGGAGGTTGCTGATGGTGTGGGGAGGAGGAGGTGGGGAGGCTGCTGCTGGTGTGGGAGGAGGGGAGGTGGGGCAGGCTGTTGCTGGTGTGGGAGGAGGGGAGGTGGGGGAGGCTGCTGCTGGTGTGGGAGGAGAGTGGAGGGATTTAAAAAGAGGACAGGATGGATGAAGTAAAAAGATAAGACTGAGGGAAAAACGTGAGAAAAAGAAGAAAAAGGAGAAAAAGGAGAAATCAAAATATGAGAGAAAAAACGGAGAGACGGATGACGCGGAGTGTAGGCTGGGATGAGCTAGTGTTAAGACCTCCACGTCGTGTAAATCGGTCAGCGGCTGGCAGTAAAAATAACCGGTTTAGTCGTCTGCCACACATTACTGTACGTGAGCTGTTTCACGGGGGGGCGGGGGGGGGGGGTTAGGTCTCGGAGGGCGGCTGTAAAACGGTATAACTCGGCCATATATGTAGACCAAAGCCCCCCCACGGAGAGAGGCACATGTGGCTTCCCGGACCAGTGACAGAACATAAGAGTAAAAGGTCTCTGTGGTGCCCTAGATAAAAAGAAATAAAAGTAAAATAAAATAAAGAAATGAGAAAAAAAAATCGCCTTTCAGTTTAAGTTATCAGATGGTAATACAAAGCTACTTAGTGTATTGGTGTGATAAAGACACGGACTTTTACGATACAGTGTAATACGTGTGTGTGTGTAGCTTTTAATTAATGTATAGCTATCTAATCCAAAGACATCAATAAGAACATACATAAGCATAAAGCAAGCTGCAGTAGGCCTATTATTGGGCCCTGAGAGGCAGCTCCTTGTTTCCACCCAACTATTATCACTCATATATCTGTCTAACTTATATTTAAAACTTCCAAACGAGTTCTTGTTAATAATAGTGCCTGGTAACTTGATCCACCCATCCACAACTCTATTTCTGAACCAATGTTTACCTCATTCCTTCCAAAGTCTATATTTATCTAATCTAAAATCTTTGCTTGGTTTTCGCTGATGGTGTGAACATTCAGATGCCTTAGTTATGTTACTTTTATTTAACCCTATTTTCTATGTATAGTTTCAGCGACGAGTAATTAACATATGTACGCTATGGCTTTCCTATCTTGAATGTTTAGTATTGCTAATTATAGATTATTTTTTTAGCTCTAAGCATAGATAACATTATAAAAACTGGTCTGGATCCCTCGTTCTGTAATCTCTCACCTTCTTACTTTAGTTTCTGACCCTAACTTACTCTTTGTGGAGGCTG